TGTCCAAAATTAAACCTGTGATAATAGTTCTACGATCTCTTATGTGGGCCTGAAAATTGATATAGACAGTTTCATTAAGCAGATGTGTCAAGAAACGCTGGACTGACAGTGAAAATAAAAACCAGTCATGGGTGAATGGAGGTATGTGACTAGAAAATGAAGAATAGCCGAGGTAATGTTGGTTCAGCTGCACAAAGGCCACACATACCTCATCCGTTCATAGTTGAATGAAGGTCAGTCAACACATACAACATGTCAAGCTGCACTCACAATGAAACGCATTTTAAATGAATGCACTTAGCACCTTTAAGACATAAATACTACAAGGAAACCAACATGAAAAAACTATTTCAATGAAAGGGTGTGCATAACAGAAATCTGTGCACACATTAACATTCGCCCACATTTGTTAAATGTTTATGGTGACAAAGTATACAATGGTGACAAGTGTACAAATGTTGAAGAATGAAGGTCAACCAAAATGGGCAAAATGGCAAGATGTACTCTTGGCGAAACACATTTTAAATGAATGGACTCACTTAGCACCTGTAAGACAAATGCTACAAAGAAACCAACATAAGAAAACTATTTCAAAATGATGAAACCATCAAGATAAAGTACTACCTTAAAGAAATAGGCTTATAGCAAAACACACAACACTTACATTGGATTATCTACATAGTACAGATCTGTGCATTTGTTGGATGTATAATGATTATCTGAAAGAAAATTGAAGATGATGAGACAAAGTGGAAAATTTAACACTACATTTTGCCCATTCATCTGTCTTCTTTGGCTTCCTCAGGTTAGAATGAAAAAAAGACAGAAGTGCATGTGATCTCTGAGAATAAATTAAATATCTCCAATGTCCAGGAACAACGTGTTGTTTGTTTTATACTATATATCTATTTATATTATATATCTATAAAACATACAGTTACTCTGAAGGTATACAATTTGCATTCAAAATATATTTAGTAGTAACCATAAGATTGTGTACAAATTATTTAGATTTTGGCATTAAATAACCCATGGAGGTTGATATGCCGTGAAACGAAATCAACTAATCACACATTGCATATCAATTTGTATGCATGTCTCTCTTGCTTTCAGGTGAGTAATTTGCTTTGTCGTGATTATTTTACCTGGTCAATTCATTTTATTGCTTGGTAGAAATCAATATAAAAAAAAAAACAGATTGAATTTCACAAAGAAAAATGTGCCTTTTGTTTTGTTCTTCATTGTCACTCCAAATATTATTTACCTTTTTGGTGTGTGTGTTGACCATAGTTATTTATCTGCTTTGTAATTTACTAGTAGCTGTCCTATTTAACTTACAGGCATTCTTCAGTTACTCTGACTTGGTTAATTACTCTCCCCACCCCCTCCCCGTCCACAATATTTACATAGCCTCAATTTGTGCCAGCAAGAATGTAAGATATCTACAGCAGAATTTGAATTTACTCTGATTACTTATCAAGTTTTTGTTTTTTATTTTGTTTTCTTACCATGTTTAGATGTGGTTTCTGACTTTAACAAACTGTGACAGTTGGCTTGATAATAATTGAGAGCAGTTTGAGTTGGGGTGGGTAGGTTGATGTGGTGGTGAGGTGCATGGGTTTGGATGGAGGTGTCTCAGATCACCTTCAAAAGGCTTGACCTTGATGTATGGCAAAGGAGACTGGCGGTCATTGGAGTCATCAGAAGAAAAATTTACCAGCAGCCACAAATGAAAGGTGTAATGAGATCCCCACCTCCTCCAAACAGAAGTTAGAATTATCAGAATTAGTTAGACGCAAGGTGAGGGCCAGTTGTTTGCAAAAAAGTTATTTAATACAAGTGGGGAGTGGAGATTAAAAATGTAGCCCACCCTCTCTACACCTTTGGTATATTTGGAAGATGCTAGCAGCAGCTGTGGCAATGTGCCTCTTAACTGCTTCCTCTGTTGCGTCTTGGCTTGAAATGATTCACTATTCCCTGGAAGCCAACAAAATAAATTCCACTCTTAATTTATTTATTTTTTTTATTCCTGGGAAGATCATATATACAGAGTGCGATGAATAAATTGTCGTCTAAATTATGCGAAAATGAAAATAACACTGATATCTCATTTTAACAGATATATTTATCAAAATTACGCAAAAATATCTTGAAAAATTAAATAACAAATTTATTCATTAAAATCACCATTGGCTTCAACCATAGCCTCCAGATGACTTTGGAATCTCCTGTAACTCTTCTGGACAGCCTCCTTGTTTAAGTTGGTGAATGCTACTATAATCCTTGGCTTCAGTTCATTTTTTGGTGTTACAAGGAGTTTTTTGGTCTCACTTAATTGCCAACCCCCTCCCCCCTCCCCCCTGCACATAAAAATCAAGAGGTTTGCAGTCTGGGAAATTTTTGTAGTCTGGGAAATTAGGTGGTCAGATGTAAGTGGTGATATAGTCAGAGAAATTATCTGGCAGCCATGACTGGGTTCTCCTGCTTGTGTGTCATAATGCAGTAGCCTGTCGTGAGATATAGGGTCCTTCTAGCAACCATCGTCTTGACCCAGGGCAGCAGTACCACCCCAAGGCACTTGATGCAAACCTCCGAGTCCCTGTGGGAAGATGAATAGAAGTTTAACATCGCCATCTCTAGTGATCACTCCAAACACCTTCACAATCACCATTAGACTTGTGTAACTCTTTCCAAATTCTCTGCACTGTCCTCAGATTGACACCCAAACACTCTGAAATGTTCGTATTGGAGCTTCCAACATGAATGCCAAGAAGTACACCATACTATTTCCAAATTTCTGGTGGAGTTCATTGTATCAATGGTACTCTTTTTCTCACAGATGGTGCCCAACTGACCCAACTATACTGTGCAGTTGACAAAATCATAGACAAATAATGTGCATGTGTGAAATTAAAAAGATAAAATGATGACAATTTACCCATCGCACCCTGTGTTTTTTTTTCTTTCTTTTTTTGAGGAATCTGAGAAGTGTTACTTTAATGACAATGACCTCAATTAAGTTTTACAGATAGTTGCAGAATATGAGTGCAGGTTAAAAGCTGTTGCACATTCTCGGGCATATTTGGCCAGGATTGTTGGTCACTCTATGAAAATTTGATAAACACTACAAATTTTCATTTCTGATTGCTATAAAAAGTTGAAATTTGCCTTAAATTTTAATGGGTTATAAAATGATGAAATATTTTGTGAGTGGAGGTGGGGATACCGAAATCACCCAGTAGAAGAATAATGGTAGGGTTGACTTTTTGAGACGGTCAGTGAAATTCATTGAGTTCGATTTTTCTCCATCTGCTATTATGTCAGGATTGACTGTGGGTGTCAAAAAATAAAATTTTAATTTTGGTTGAAATTTTTTACACTAACAAGGAAAGAGCTGGGAAACTAGAAAATAAAATATAATAGCATTTATCTCAGTCCACAGAAAATCAGTGGCACCCCTGAATACAAGGCAAAAGCCAGAGGTGGCAATTCAATAAAATATAAATTTTTCCATTATTTACATTATTCGGAACATTGTCCTCATCTTTGTTGCCATATTTATTACAACGTTTCGGCCGTTGTACGCTCAGGCCTTCTTCAGGTGGTTGGAATTTCGAACTGAACCCTTTATTTCGCTCACTTGGGTAGACTGTTCTAGTTCCACGTGCCATGTTTGATGGATGTCAGTTATCAGTTATCTCCTGCTAATTTCCCTCTGAAAGTTCTCCACTGCCTTAACCGGGTATTGAACTCACGCTCTTTGGGTCCTGTCACTGGATCTAACCAACGCCTTTATCCACAGTGGATAAAGGCAAATTTTTCCCTCTTCTCTTTAAGATTTGAATGATTTGTAGCACTCAATTTTATTCCTTTTGATTCAATAAGAAACATCTTCATGAGATTTGTAACCTCAGGTATGACAGGTGTTTTATGTTTTTCAAACTTGACATTAAATGGAGTTTGTATTTAATGGAAAGAAACTTACATACCATCAGTTTCATCTCTTTGTCCTGTATTTGTATAATAGATTAGAATGACAGGTAACAAAATTCAGGAATCTTCAGGTTCATGCCTTTTCTATCCAACATTTGTACAGAATGTTTTTGCCAACTGGGATATTGCTGATTATATTTTCATATCTTGTCCTTTAAGTTGTTTAATGTTTCTATTTAATGGAATTTGATATTTTTATGTTGGATGGATTGTGGATTTTAGAAGTAAGTTGCCAGTTTGTAAAGATCTTTTCTAGATAATTCTGTAGGACTTAGCACAGCGAAACAGTTCTTTCTAGCTGCCATTCTCATCACAGATCTGTTCCTCTACTTTCCAGGCTCCCAATTTATAACTGGAAGCCACTGTGGAATTTTTTAGCCTTTGCCTTGTCTATATTATTGTCATCATCTTTTTCACCACAGCAAGAATAACTAGAGGACAATAGCAAATTTCAGTAGAGAGTTTCTCTTGTGATTTATTTCATTGACTGTAACAATTGCTCCAAAATTGTCTGGGAATATTTATTAAATTCAACAAAGGGAGCAATTATTATTACAATCTAAAGTTGTAATAAAATAGAGGAAAAAGAACTAACTATAGAAAGATTAAAAGTTTTTATAATGCACCAAGTGTCTCTTTTTAAGTCTGTAACTTTTTAGCATATGTTATCGCAGGCTATTCCAAGACATTTATGAAGCTGGAACATGAAATGACTGATTCCCTAAAAGAACAGCACAAATAATTGGAATAAAAAAAATAAAATGCTGTCATTTTTTTTTGTTATGCTCCATCCAGGTAAATTGTTACACAAATAATTCTTAGGATATTTTGATATTTGTAAAGCTTAGTTTGGCACAAGGCCAAAAATGTTAAGCAACCAGTGAAGATCATACAGCAGTAATAAAGAATTGTGAGACAAGTTTCCTAAAATAAAGAATTGTGAGATAAGTTTCCTAAGCCGCAGATATCCTTTGTATCTGTGTTTTGTCAACCTTTCAAAGAATGGTATGGAATCAAAGTTTTTTTTATTTATTTGTATTTTCTGCTGTTTGTTTGCTGTTGTGTCACCTCCATTGAATTTTCATGAGCTGATATTTTTTTTTTTCTTTTCTTTTTCATGTCTCTTCCCCAGTACGGTAAGTAAACTTTCTTCTTTTTTAACATAAAGTTGCATAATCATTTCTTTTTATCAAGCTTCATATATCAAATGAACTTTTTGAAATTGTTTTTGGTAACTGTTGAAAGTTTTTGAACACAAATATCAAGTTAAAGAGAATTTGGGGATTTGAATTTCAAATGAACCCTTTATTTCATCCACCAGGGTAGATTGTTCTAGTTCCACGTGCCATGCCTCTTCTGGATGTCTTAGTTATCTCCAAGTTTTTGTTCACCACTGCCCTAACCAGGTATTGAACTCATAATTCTTTGAGACAAGTCACTGGATTTAACCAACACTTTTATCCACTGGGCCAAGTCTCCTTGGTAGATGAAATAAAGGGTTCAGTTCGAAATTCCAATCACCTGAAGTAAGCCAGAGTGTACAACAGCTGAAACATTGTGAACATGACAATAAAGATGAGGACAACAGTCTGAAAAATTTAAATAATATAAATAATAACAATACTGTATCTGAGAAATATAGACACAGGTATAAATAAGTAAATATAAAATAGTCTGTTTCTGATATCTTCTGTATTACCTGAGATGCTTGCTCTTATATAGTGAAATGGACTCCCATTTTAAGGAAAAGCTGTAGTCATCCATCCAGGTTGAGCTATGATTTTTTTTTTTTACAGTAAGGTTCATCCTCTACAAGGCCTGGGAGGGGTACTTGAGGCAGAGGGTTACATTAAGGGGTAGTTTATATGGGTAGGAGGGGGAGATAACCATTATCTCTAGACTTTAACAAGTTAAGATTGTAGGGATCAGAGAAACATCATCTTGGGAGTCTGTTTCACAGGTCAGTAGTTCACAGGAAGAAGCTGTTTGAGTGGAGCTTACTTTTCACCGATGTGATATGGAGGGAATGTGGGGAGGGTGCTATTATGTAAGTGGCATGGTGGGTCCTAGCTGTGAAGCTTAGTCAAGGTTTGAATAAAGGAATGTAGTTTGTTCAAGCACTTTCCATGGAAGTAGTGATAGAGCAGTGAGAGACTTGCCACATCCAACTTGTAGGAGAGAGGTTGGTGGGTGGAAAATAATTTGTCACCCACAAGGACTCTGGAATGCTTTTGAACTTTATCAAGACGGGAAAGTGAGGACTGAGCAGCTCCCTCCCAAATATAGCAATAGCATTCCGTTTTCGACCTGATTTGGCTTTTATAAATGTAGAGGATAGCATGAGGAGTCAGGTACTTACTGGAGTGGAACAAGGAGCACATACTTCAGCTCCGTCCTTTGACAGCTTGACAGCATCCAGATCTGTTGTGGGGGGGGGGATCAAGATGAGGCTAAAAGAAGCAGTGGGATGTTTCAGTACCCTATTCTCTGATACGTTGTTTGCTAAATCTGATACCTATACTGTATACAAATAGAAAATGTGTTCAGCAGGTACATAAAAATAGAAAGGAGTATAAGACAAGGATAAGTCTTCTCACCAGACTTGTTCAACCTATATAGCAAGGCAATTCTGAGAGAATTAGAAGTCCTACCAGGATTCATTATCGGCGGCCACAATCTTAACAATATAAGATATGCAGATGACACAGTCCTGATAGCAGACATGTAAATAAAACTATAAAAGCTCCTACGGAAGGTAGTGAAGGAAAGTGAGAAGAAAGGACTAAATATAAACTACAAGAAGACAGAATGCATGGTCATCAGCAAAAGGGTGAGCCCAAAAGGCAAATTACAGATTGGGGATATTAAAATCAAGCAGGTACAGAAATTTAAATATCTGGGAAATGTTCTAACAGACGATGGAAAGTGTGATACTGGGATCCGAAGATGTATTGGGATGGCTAAAGATGAATATCAAAAGCTAAGGAAACAAAGAAAAGAGTGCCGAACTGTTATGTGATATCTGTCCTCCTATATGACTGTGAATATTGGACAATCTTCTCAAAGATGAAAAGACTTGATGCAACAGAAATATGGTTCTACAAAAAGATTCTGAAGATACCATGGACAGAATATGTGAGTAATGAAGAGGTTTTAGAGGAAACGGAAACAAAAAGGAAACTTCTACTTAACATCAAAAAGTGGCAGTTGGAATTTCTGCAGCATATAATGAGGGCTTGGAAAATCTGATACTTACAGGAATAGGCTTGAGTAAATGGATGGTAGAACAGGTCTTGGGAGAAATAGCCAAAAGACAAAATTTATTAAGAGTTACAAGGGACAGGAAGATGTGGAGGGCTATGATTGCATACGCCTGAAGAGACAGTGCACATAAAGTAGTAGTTTTCACTTCAATCATATCCAAGAAAATTCTGTACAACTGACAAAAAATGAATCTGCTGCCCCCAGCACTAATGGATATAACTATAATATACTATAGTATTGACCTTGAACATAAATATACTATTTTTATTTATACACTATTTGCCTTGAACAAAAATATACTATATAGAGTGTTGATATATCATAAATATATTATTGACCTTGAGCATAAATCTGCTATGTGTGTATATCTTGAAAGCTTGTCAACTAGGGCAACAAATGTCTTGTAGATTTTAATGCCTCCAAAATGAAGCTGCTATCACAGTGCTCCCAAACCTTTTTCAGCTTATGGATCATTTTTTGTTCCAAAAATTCAAATAGACCATTCCCACTTTTTCTTACAGGCTGTTCAATTTTCACATGAAAATACTTGATGAAAAGACAAAGTCGTCTATTTACAATAATAAAAATAATAAATAGTTTATTTCTATAAATTAAAAATGTCAAATTTATTATCAAAAGATATTGTGTACTGATCTATTATTAACATAGGAATAATTTTTTATATGAATAAAAAATGTAGATGAAATATATATATATATATATATATATATATATATATATATATATATATATATATATATATATATATATGGTAAAAATAAAATCAATATAGCACAACATAATACCTACGTAATTTTGAAATTTTCAAATATAATGGACATGTGTGTAATTAAACAAAACATATTTTTTAATTCTTCAAAGTATGAATAATTTAGATACATTTTTGTGAAATGGCTATAATATGTTATGGCTACAAATGGTAAATGTGAACCACCAGTGGTCCATATAGTCCATGTTGAGAACCACTGTGCTATTATTTAATCATTTCTGCCTACTATCAGCATGGCGGATGCTAACCTCCAAGAGAGCAACTCTCTGCATCTTGTTGGGTTCATGTTTAAAACTGATATGAAGTGTAGGTATTCTATTGAATCAATTGCTAGGTCTGCAGCTAAGGAAGTTGGTTCACTGTGTCTAGCCAGACAATTTTTCTTATGAGAATCCCTCTTGCATATTTATAAATCTTCCATTCACCTGTGCATTGAATATTACTGCCATATCTAGTCTGGTGCTCCTGCTATATATCTCAAGATTCTTGACAAAATCCAAAGATTCTGTAATGTAATCGATCCTGACTTAGCATCTTGACTTCAGTCACTTTCCCACCAACATGATGTGGCTTTCCTTTGTCTTTTCTATAAATATTTTCATGGCAATTGTTCTGATGAGTTTTTCTCTTTGGTACCTTGACAGCATGAATTTTGGTGTGCTGCTAGATTGGCAACTAGGTTTTGCTGTTTTACAGTTGAACTAACTAGATGTAAACATAAGTTCTATTTTAAGAGTTTCTTTTCTCACACTTTTTGCCTGTGGAACTCTCTTCCAGTTTCTTGCTTCCCTGCTACTTATGATTTTCAAAAACTTGAATGCAACTTCAATCACCATTTTCTGAACCCGTTTCTTTTAGTGTCCTTTCTCCTCATTAAAGTCTTCTCTTTCTCTTTCAGTAACCGCTTGCGTCTTAGTAGCATTATCATCTTGCTTGGGGGTTAAAAAAAATATTAGGACAATTCTAAGTATGGATTCATTCTTAATTTAGTCTTGGACACATTGGCTTTTATTTGTGCAGTAAAACCTTTTCTTTCTCAGTTGTTATCTTAAAGAAATATATAGAATTACAGATTTTGACAATTGTCTTGAAGGGAGAAAGAAATCTTCAGGGGCAAATTTGTATCCAAACAGAACTTAGTCAAATTCAATGGCGCTTAATGTGTTTCATTAAGACTTAAAAAAGAAAACTTTCTCTTGTTAATTGAACAAATATTTTTTGCTTCTTATTTATTGCCTTTTCAGCTTTTTAATAAAGTATTTTGACTTTTTCTTTTCCTAGCACTTCTGGGGACCAGGTGAGTGTTATTTTTTCTCAGATTATTTTTTCTGTTTTGCTTCCATTAAGAGCTTTCTTCTTATATGCTTTTTAATTTTTCTCTATCTCCTGTTAAATCCTTTTTATTTTTTTTTTTAAAAATCCCCCTCCCCCATCTCCTATTTCTGTTTATTTCAAGGTAGACAATTCAAAATGACAAACTGGTTGCATAACTGAATTCAAACTCAAGAAAGTTTAATTGGTGGTATTTCACAGTATCTATTTATTCCCCACCCCATTCCAAGTGTCTTTGAAGCCCGTCAAAAAATGGAATCAAAACTGATGTATTAGTGTAATATTTTATTGGCAATTTTATTTCCCATGGAAGTTCTTGAGTTATTTCAGTTCAAAAACACACAATTCTTCTCTCTCGCTCACTATCTATCTCTCTCTCTCTCTCTCTCTATATATATATATATATATATATATATATAATATTATAAATTGATTTAAAATGTTTTTTTCGCTACACCGTTCTAACCATGTTTCAAAAATGGAAGCTGAAAGCTCCGAATTTAATTTTGATTTTGTAACTATATTTTAAATCAATTAATTTATAATATTAATGCTCTCTAAATTTACATTGAGCACTATTTTATAAAAATATCTATAAGAACACCAGATTATATATCTTACTGTTCTTTCTTTTTATTTATATATACATATATATATGATGGACTCTCCCATTGAGTTCGACATATATGGTTCTGAGGACCAAAAACTAATTATCTGCATGTCTATGATGGGCGTGACTTTTGAGACCCACCTGAGAATTGTACAAAAGACCACAAACAGTACAGGAGAATATATTGTCTCCAAGTGCAGCAGGAACACTGTTAACTGTCTTACTTTGCTTTCGTGTTTCATGTAGTGGAATGATGCTTACTTCTTGATGGTGCATTATTCCTGAATGGCAGTGAGAATGATACTCTGATTTTTCATAGCTACCTCGTCAAAGTTCTTGAATGGAATGTTGACACAAGAAAGGTTGCTCTTTTTATAACCACTGGAGTTCACTGTAAAAAAGAACTTTTGGTATGTAATCATCACTCATCCTTGCCACATGGTCAGCTCAACATAGTTGTGATTGCATTATGAAGGTCTTCATGGCACCAGTCTTGCATTTCTCAAAAAGATCAGCATTTGACACTCGTTCATCAAACTTTAGGCCATAGATTGTACGGAGACAGCCTTTATGGAAGACATCTAATTGTTTAATGTTCTATCTATAAGGTGTCCAAGTTTCAGAGCTATACAAATGAGTTAACAAAGCGACAGCTTTGTACACTTGGATTTTAGTGCAAAGCTTTATTCCCCTTTCGTCCCACAACCTATGACGCAGCAAACTAAAGGAAGCACTGGCTTTTGCAATGTGATTAACAATCTTGTCATCAAGGTATACACTTGAATTTACCATGCTTCTAAGGAGGTATTTGAAAGATTCCACATACTTGAGATTCTTTCTATCAACTTGTAACGGGACCTCAGGAAACTTAAAAACAGGGGGTTTCTGTTTTACTCCTTGACAACCAATAACACCTTTCCATGTCTGATGGTCAGAAACAACACGGGCATTGAAGTCCTTCAAGAGAACTAATTAATCCCTATGGTCACAGGTAGATATCACTTTCCAAAGTTGATTGTAGAAGTGATCCTTTATGTGCTCAGTACTGTTCATGGTCGGAGCATAAAAACTGATCAACAAGGCAGTAGTTTTTTTGATGAAGGTCGATTTTGAGAGTCAAATTATACGGCCTTGGACAGAGTAGGTAGTGATCACGCAATCTTTGACTTGATAGCAAAATGTACACCCGATTGTTGCGACTCGTTTTCAACATTCCCAGGCTAGAAAAAAGGTGTACCCTCCTTTTCTCTCTACCAGTTGTGATACACCAAGAAGATGAGCTTCACTCAGTGCATCTATATCAATGTTGTACTTCTTTAGCTTCATTGCGACCAGAGCTGTCATTCTTTCTGTTGTTGAGTTATTGTCCTGAAGACAATTCCAAGAGCTGAAGTTGTTTTGTAGAGTTTTTGTTGTAGCTGGATGATGACGACCAGGCCCATTCAGTGATGTTGTGGGACACCTGCCAGGCCAGATCCCTTTACTTAATGTTCCAGAGCCCTTATTGGCATTAGTCTGTGCTATATCAGTTATTTTCATTAAGTTTTGTTTGCCTTTTAGGGCTTTGGACAGCCATTGTTATTGTTGAATTGTGTGGAACTAATTAGATGTAGTTGTCAGAAAACCAACACAATGATTTGTTTAAAATGGTGAAGGCTTGTGTCTGACCATCCACACTTGGATCTGTCGATAAAAAAGTAACGGTGCAAAAGACTTGCCATGGAAACTCTGAATGACAGCCCTCATGTGTTATTATTGCAGAGTTTATCCTCTCTGGATCACTGTGTGTGTGTGTGTGTGTGTGTGTATATATATATATATATATATATATATATATATATATATATATATATGGTATATATATATATATATATATAATATGGTACTTATAATATGTACATTTAACAGGCCAGATAATGAAATTTGAGGAATAAAATGGAATATCACTTGATGTCCTGATGCCAAGTCTGAAAAAATAGTGAGTCTTAAAATAAGTGATTTGGAATGAATCATTGGTAGCCAGGACATAAGTGAGCTCTTTGCTGGTTTTATGAGATGGAATTCAGTACAGAGAATAGTAACTAATTTAAAGTAGAAATTGGTGTTATGTTTAAAAATAAATTGTATATAACCAATAGTTTATAACTTGTTTATTCTATAGGCTTTTATATAACTTAGTAGAATAAATAATTTTATTTTTTATATTTCAACAGGAATAAAAAAAAAAAAATTTAAATCATCCTACATTTTATTACATATTTGATGTCAAAATATTTTATTGCAGCCAATAATGGCTTTTTTTTTCTAATTTTAAAATTCATTAGATTACAGCATGGAGAGAAATAAAGACTTATTGAATTTATATGGTTGATTGATTGGCGTTACAGAATTAATTATTTCCTTTTTGAACTTCCATAAAAAACAATTATCTAACAAAAGAAAATGTAAAAATGAAAAATGTTCACACTTAAATTACATTAATCTTAATATTTTTCCAATTTTTTAAATAGATCTTTAAAAAAAATCTCGTTACAAACATCAAGACAAATTTCAAAATCATGGTTTAAAATTATTAAGTTCTTAATATGTACATTTAATAGGCCAGATAATGAAATTTGAGGAATAAAAATGGAATATCACTTGAAATAAATCCTGATGCCAAGTCTGAAAAACATATCATCACTGATAGCAATTTCAACCTCACTGGCACTTACACAATATTCAGACCATTGACTTTGACTTGAAGCAGTTCAAATCTTATATAGTTATTTTTTTGCTACAAATGCAAAAAAGGTAATTATGTTAGAGAAACAGGCATGAAATTCCATCTTAGGTTCAATAACCATAAAAATATCAAAGACTGTAACAACAGTTTAACTGTCACTGCACACTTCAACCAACCATTCCATAGTATTGATGACATCAGATGTGTGCTTTTAGCATCTTCATTTAGCAGCCAACAAGAAAGATGCAGATCAGTCAAAATATATTTTTAAAATAAAATCACACATTAATAGATTAAACAAGGATTTGGGTTTGCTCTGAGAATATAGTTTCCACAGGATGCCCTTGAACCAACAACAATATTCTCTGGCAGAGTTGAGTCCTATTTCTTTGCTTATTCTTTCTCTTGTTGAAAAAGGACACAGACGTGTCCAAAAATTCTGACTCTAAAATCTTTCTCTTCATTTTTCGATTTAGTCAAAAGGTTAATATATAATAAATATAATCAGTCTTATTACCAATATTGTTATTTTGTTTGCTTTTTATTCTTCAAATTTCATTTACTGGCCTATTACACACACACGCACTAATATGAATACAAAATAATGCACATTGAATGCTGGTGCCAATAAAATAGTGCGTAATACATAATAATGAAGGTATAATTTATATTAATAAAACATTTTTTCCTCACCTGGTAGCACAGCTCTGAGTTTCATGCTCAATGTAATCATCAGGTGCTGATTGAAAATTGACTGTAGTATACCTTAAATATTGATATTTATACCATTGTGTAATGATAGTGGAGCAGTCCATTTATATATTTACAGGTTTTGGGTAATAAAATAATTATATATTTATGTGTGTCTGTGTATATATACTTACATACCCCCAAATACAAACATATAAATATAATTTAAGTACAAATATACACATCTAATATGCAGTTACAAATATAATACAAATGTACACATAAATATTATGACATAACCACATATATATATAATATATATATATATATATATATATATATATATATATATTTTAAAATATGATTCCTTCCCTACATAAGAGTTCTCAAGTTTCAAAAACAATGGCCAAATGCTCTATTTCATCCTCAAATGAAAAAAATCTTATTCCAAAAGTTTCACTTGAGGATGAAACAGAGCTTTTGGCTCTTGTTTTTGAAACATGAGAACTCTTATGTAGTGAAGGAATCATATTTTTAAAAAAATAATTATAATTTAGGCTCTACTTTTGTATTGAGCACTGTTTTTTAAAAATAAAAACAAAAATACTAAAGAACTTTGGATTATTTACCTAATATATTCTTTCTTATTTTTCTATATATTATGCCACACACACACACACACACACACACACACACACACATATATATATTTCACATTTACATAGATACACATATATAGACTCTTTCACTTCTACTGAATCTTATCACACACATACACACATTCATCTGATAAGAATGTCTTCTGCAGACATTGGCGATCTTGTCTCTCCAAAACATCCAATCTCTTGTAGTTCTTAGTAGTTTTTCTCCCTAATCCAAGACTCCCACCCGTTATGTTATCCATTTGCAGGTGCTTTTCAGTTAAGTGGCTCGCTGACTTCTTCTGTCTCTCTTGCCCTCAATATGCCCTGTGAGTGTTAACTTTTCCAAGCTCTCCTTCCTCATTATGTGTCCAAGGAATTTCAGCTCTCTCTTCCTGATTCTGGGTATAATTTTTTTTAATCATTTCATCCCAATTGAGGTGATAGTGCCACTAAGACGCAAGGGATTACTGGAAGTGAAAGAGAATGAGAAGACTTTAGTGAGGAGAAAGGACAATAAAAGTACAGGTATCTGGATGTCAGAAGATGGCGATAATGCCACTAAGACACAAGGACTTACTAGGAGGGAAAGAGAATGAAAAGACTTTAGTGAGGAGAAAGGATAATAAAAGAACAGGTATTGTTTCTTTTGTTGTCATTTTCTTTGAGACATTTTGGTTGCCTCCAGTTTTCTCCTTGTCTAAATGCAGCTGAAAACTGAACATTCTATCTGACTCTCTACTACCTGAACCCACCTAGCATCTATATACTTGATCCCCAGGTCAAAATTAGCATTGTCCATCAGTGTTGCAATTTTGTTTTTTCTAAGTGCCTGTTGAAATGTTTGTTTTTTTGGGTTTTTTTTTTTTACCTCCTAACACAAAAATACAGTTGATTTTATTCTAAGAATTTTTGAGATAAAATCCAAAAGTGATTATTCCAAATGTTTGATGTAAAAAAATTTCCAGCAATCTTGGACCTTTGTACCTGCAAAAATTTGAGTGACAAAATGATGCTTTTCCCTTGATACCACTATTATCTTAACTACATTCACACCTTGTCGATGTTTATTGTTTAAAAAGCGATGAATAGAATTTTAATAAAATCCAAATATATGAAATTGAATTTATACATTTTCTTTGTCCTTGAGAATTGACAACTAAAATAATAAACATTATTTATTATATTGTTTATTGGAATGTTTGACAAAACATTGGCTAATTGCCAATTGATTCAAACTTTATAAAATGGTAAATAATAAGAATTTTTTTAGAGTTGATTCACATATTTTAATCATTTAGTAAATTTTTATAAATTTATGAATAAAAAATATTCACATTTATTTCTTTATAAATTGGTAAATGATAGATATTGCATTAAATATTAGTTTTAATTGTATTAGTTTTTAGATTGTTGTAAATATAAAATTATTCTTGTAAACTATCTAATAAATAGTGATTAATATTTTTGTTGTCAATTCTTTAGAACAAAAAATGTATAAATTCACTTTCATCATATGTTTAAGTTTTATTCCAATTCTCATCATCACTTTTTTAAATAATAAACATTGCCAAGGAGTGAAGGTAGTTAAAATAATAGTGGTGTCAAGGAAAAACAAAAACGTGCTTTTGACACAGTTTTGTTTTTGCTGGCACAAAGGTTCAAGTTTGCTAAATTTTCTTTGTTGATCATTAAAAAAAGTTTAATTTGAAATTTTCCATTTCTTCTCCATATTGAGTTAAAAGAAATTTAACTGAAATTTTTTCTTATTTCTCTTAAAAATAAAATTCAGTTGCAAATTGGGGTCTTCCAATCGCTGCAATTTCTGACATCAGAAAGAACCCAGAATATATCAGTGGCAAAATGACAACAGGTAAGATTATTGCCTCCTTTTATTTTTCCTCTTATAAGTCGATTCTTCTTTTATGTAAAAAGAAAAAGTCTTGAGATTATTTAGTGAGACAATTTTCATTTTAGATCTTTATAGACTTTGACGTTACTTTATTTGTAGATTCATCAATCTCAGTCTATATCTCTGAGATGAGGTATTATGATTATTTACGTTATTTGGACTGTCATCCTTATCTTCATTGCCATATCACAATGTTTTGGCCATTGTACACTTCGACCTTCTTCAGGTGATTGGAATTTTGAACCAAACCCTTTATTTTGTCCACCAGGGTAGATTGATCTAGTTCTATGTGCCATGACTCTTCTGGATGTCTCAGTTATTTCCCTTTAACTTAACTCTCCAAGTATTTTGGTGCACCACTACTGTAGCCTGGTATTGAACACACAACATGGAACTAGAACAATCTACCCCGGTGAATGAAATAAAGAGTTTGGTTTGAAATTCCAATCACTTGAAGAAGGCTGAAGCATACAACTACCAAAACATTGTGAATATGGCAATTAAGTTGTAGATTCTTTTCTTGCATTTTTTTAAGTATTCATCTTCTTCAAAAAGAAAAAAAAAAATCCCAGGATGTATTTGTAAGCAAATCTGAAATATTTTTGTTTTGCTGAAGAATTTCTTGTTTTTTCTTTTCTTTTTTTCTTTTGTAGCACTTACCATTTATTCAATGCTTTTCATGCGGTTTGCCTTGAAAGTCCAGCCACGAAACATGCTGCTTTTTGCTTGCCACATTACAAATGTCTCTGCCCAGCTAACTCAAGGTGCCAGATTCATTAATTATTAGTAAGTATTTTTTACTTTTTTGTGCATCAGACATGAAAACCTTTTTCTTCATTTTTATTCTTGTTCATGTAAATTCAATATTTGACTCAGTTAAATGAATGAAAGTAAAAATGTCACACAATGGATTATTTTTATTTACACTATATTCACACTGTGGGCCTAATCTTTGTTGTTATCACAATGTTTAGGCCATTGTGCTCTTCAGACTTCATCAGGTGTATATCGATCTGAGCAACCTACAGGGAATTCCAAACTGAACTCTTTATTTAACCTATGGAAGTTGACAATTCTTGTTCCACTGCACATTAATAAGAAATAGACTAATTTTAAATAAATTCTTGCAATAAATCTTTGGTTTGCTCTGGAAATCTATTTTAGCCTTCCAAATTATGCTCTAAAAACCTTAGGTAGCAGCACCAGTTCCATGAAGTGATCATCAGTGAAGATGTCACTTTTTGTTTCTATTCGCCCAAACTGAGATGACTGCGATCAATAAAATTTCTCAGAGAGTTTCTGCCTGAATTTCTAGGATGAGGATTATCATTATCTACAATAATTATATGCAAACTAGTGTCTTCTTTGTTGCTATTATTACATTTCAGCCATTATGCCCTCTGTCCTTCATCAGATGCTTATCAATCCAGGTAACATTCAGGGAAATTTAAAACTAACCCTTTATTCAATATTCAGAGATATGTTGCTCTTGTATCTGTTATGTTTAGCCGAGATATCTCATCTCGTTCTTATTTTTAGGACTGCTCAGTTATTGCTTGTTCTGTTTCCACTGATTCCAAGTATGAATCATTCCACTGCCTGTGTCTAGGGATATCTCTTGACTAGTTCCAATTTTTAGTATATATGTTTGTCCTCCACATGCTGTGATGACCTTGACTTCAGATCACTGTGGGGGAGGGGGTGCAGCGTGGATGTGGAGATGACTAATGAGACCAATCTTTGCCTGAATAGTCTGTTGCAATTGTGACATGGGATGCTGGGGGGCTGTACCAAGCTGGGATGCGGAGCCCTCTCAATCTTTCCTTTTTTGGCGTCTCTGTTTATTGTCCCTAATTCTTTTCCCTTCAAAATCAAACACTCTGGACTTTACAAAGGAGTACCAAATGGTATTGTCCTCAATAGACTCTTCTCAGGTGCAATTAGAAATGCCACAATGTTTTTGTAATGCATCTTTGGTCTGCTGAGTGAGTGCTTGCCTATAGAGATGGGACTTGGGAGGTGACAGTCGCCCATGTGGCAGACGTGGCCAGCCTATTGGAGTTGAAAGCACTGTAGGATAGCGCATGGATGCTCTCCATCCCAGTACGCTGGAGTATTTCAATGTCCGGGATTCTGTCCTGCCCTCTTGATACAGAGCAAAGTTTTGAGACATCTAATATGAAAGGCACCGAGCTGGTTAGCATGCTGGCTGTAGACTGTCCATGTGAGAGATGGACCGTCGTCATTGCCAGCAAACTAGCTTGCTACAAAGTGCAGATTGCCACCCTCAGTCAGATCCATCTAGCAGAGGAAGGACACCTGACAGAGCAGTCTGACAGTTACACATTCTTTTAGACGTAGACACAATGAGTGATGCCAGGCACAAGTTGGCTTTGCCATCAAGTCCAATCAACATGCAGGCATCTAGTCTGAATGGGATCAATGATCACTTGATTACTGTCTCCCTCCTCTCGTTTCTCAGTTTGCCACATTGATCAGCTTATTTTTAGTACTGCTCAGTTATTGCTCACCCTGTTTCCACTGAGTCCAAGTATGCACTGTTTCACTGCCCATGTTTATTGATATCTTGTCTAGTTCTTATTTTTAATACTCAATGGATTATTTTATATTCACACTATCTGTATTCAGACTATTTTCCTCATTTTTGTTGTTGTTATCACAACGTTTTGGCCATTGTGCCCTTCATTCTTCAGGTGTATATCGATCTGAGCAACCTACAGGGAATTCAAAACTGAACCCTTTATTTAATCAACATAGTGTAGGCTGTTCTTGTTTTTGCTACTCATGTCATATCTTGTCTAGTTCTTATTTTTAGTACTGCTCAATTATTGCTCACCTGTTTCCACTGAGTGCAAGTACACACTGCCTGGTTTACCTGTCTGCTGATTAGGTTACACCTGCTGCTTCTACCTGTTTTGATTACCATTGCTGCTGCTGTTGATGTCTTGCTGTCATTTGTCTTTCTTTCTTTATTAACAGCTCCCATACTGTATTTATTTCTATGCTAAGCCTACTACCTTTTATATTCCTTGTCAGGTTTTTATTATGCAAGTCTAAGTTGTCACAATAAAATTGACATGGACTCACCTATGTTGGTAAAAAATTCAAGATATAATTATAAAATCAATATATTGAATATGTTTTAGCTTATATCTTTCATTATTAAAAATATTGATAATCTGTTAATTAACATGAAAAGATTCCTAAAAATATCTTGTCTATGAAATTATGATAATTGGAGAAGGTGAATATAATGTTTTCTTGTTCCAAAACGATCGCTGAATTCATACAAAAAAAAAAAAAAAAAAAAAAACAAACCCTCTGACCGATCAAATTTTCAATCCTGAATACGAGTTACTTCCCTTTAAAGAATTGTTTGCCTTGTTTTAATTTCATTTATTTTTATTACTTCCTCAAGACGAAAATGTATTTTGTTAGAAGTGTAGATAATTGATTTTTTTTTTTTTTTAATAATTCTGCAGCTTTTTGAATAACATTGTTTATTTTTGCTTAAAAATAAAAAGCCGGTCCAGTTGAGATTTTGTTCCTAGTGGCTGTAAAATGTGGTATCATGTCCAAAGATATTGGTATGGCAAGCATAATTACAGCTAGGTTGTCTTTTTTTCAGGCTGAAAATGTAAAAGTTGAATCATTAAAAACCTTAAACTGAATTTTTTCGCCCCAATAAACAATTGTATCTTATTAACATCTGCTTTTTTTTCTACCTACATTTATATACGTTACAAATTAAACTAAGCACAACTGAATATTAAAGGATGAAATGTTTTTGCAGATTTTGACTTCATTCTGGGGTCTGTTTTTTTTTTCACCAAATGTGTAAATTTGTTTTGCTCATACTAAATCTTGGAAAAAGACACAATATAAAATTCACTATTTTTTTATTGATAATGTTGAATGTGTTAAAATTAGTCAACTTTTTAACAAGAAAATTCTCAAGTTGATGTTAAAAATTGCACAAAACATTGTTGATTTATTTAAGATGGAATGATCTATTATGACAGGTCTTTAATTTGTAGAGATACATTGAATTCATTTTCAATTTTTCTAGTTGAATTGTTCACCTATATTGCATATGATCTATTATTGTATATAATCAGGTTACAATGAAATTTGAATTTTATATGAAAATTGAAATGTAGTACATTGGGGAGCCCTGTATCATAGATTTGTGAGGTGGGGGGGGGGGGTTCATATATTTTGGGAGGGGTGCACAAGTCCCTTGCACTGGCCCTGCTTGATAATAGATAAAGATCAGACCTATTTACTGTAAAACCATATCAACTCACTTCATACAAAAGTTCAGACATTTCATGTTACAGGGTTTATTAGGAAAGAACAAAATCTGCAGTTAACAGAAGCCATGTTTAATTTTTTTTGTAAAATATGAGAAAAGACAATTATTAATATTATTTCAGTCCTTTCTAATGGGTAGTTCCCTGAAGGTAGTTGTTAACAGCTTAGTCCAAAGAGGCACAGGTGATCAACACAAGCGTCCCTCAAGGCTTGCTTCTTGGTCTATCCCTCTTCCTACTTTACATAAATGGTCTGCCTTGGAGTATACTTTGATCATTTGTGAATGTCTCTGATGATGGCATATGGTCACATCTCCAAAACTCTAGATGAATGATGACCAAAACGTGGCAGTTGATCTCTCCTATGACCTAAGCTTTAACAGCTTAGTCGGAGAAAAACTGGCCCGTCTCATTCAAAAACCAAAACTAGTGACATTTCATCGTCATTGAGTGGGCCTTGAATTTTCACCTATCATGATGAATGAATATTCTCACAGGGAGCCAGCTGCCCCACCCCTGTGCCTTGAGCACGTACTGGGACTTTAACTTAACCGAGATCTCAAGTAGAATTTGTACATACATCCATCGTCAAAGATATTAGAAAAATGGCCTGTTCCCTGTATCACACCCATAAGTACTTGACTCCTCTTGTTATCCTCTACCTTTACAAAAGCCAGATTAGGCTGAAAATGGAATACTTCTGCTATATATGAGCAGGAGCTGCCCAGTCTTCAGTTTCCAGTCTCGTTATAGTCCAAAAGCATCTTTGTGTCCTTGTGGGTGACAAATTATTTTCCACCCTCCAACCCCTTTCCCACAAGCATTCACTGCTCTATCGTTATTTTCATGGAAAGGGTTTAGACGAACTGCAATCTTTAGTTCCACCAGATCTAACCTTCATGACTAAGGCCCACCATACCCCTGCACATTGTAGTGAACCACTCTCACTCCCTTCATATTCCATTGGTAAGATGTAAGTTCTACTTGAGTAGCTTCTTACCATGAACCTCTGCTTCATGGAACTGACTCCCAAGAGGATGCTTCACCGATCACTACAATCTTGGCCTGTTCAAATCTAGGGTTAACTGTTTTCTCCACATATCCCCAGAAATGTGCTCCTTTGTAACCCTCTACCTTGAGTGGCTCTTGCACCTTGTACAGGGTAAACATCATTGTGAAAAAAACCCAGAACCCCTCCATCTTCGATGTATTTATTGACTGCTAAATTAAATCATTTGAAATAAAGAAGTTATTTCTAATAATGATTTGATTACACATCCTACTCCTTGACTGTTGATCTTTCATAACGATAACCTTGATTGAAACATTTTACTTTTTTAAAACAATTAAATTGGTAATCAGTTTTGAAATAATTTTGTTTTTCTTTTACCCTTCTAAATAACAAAGTAATTTTGATTATGATTTTCTGCCCCCCCCCAATTGCTTCTTACGATCTGATTGCAGCTAAATCGTCTTTCACTGCAAGTTTTCTTTTTATTCATTTGAATTGCTCAATAAAATGCAACTTTTTTTTTTTTTTTTTCAGTTACATTTCTGATAATGCTTCAAAAACACAGAGTGAGCCTTTAGCTGACCAGAAGGAAACGGGTGGATAAGAAGGTCAGAGGTTCATTTCAATTTTTTTTTTTATTGATGCTTTTTCAGACTTCCCAAAAATCTCTAGTTCCCTTTCTCTTTATTGGTGATAACTTCCGTTCTTATCTGAAAATGAATCATTTGGCAAGAAAGTTTAGAAAGAAAAGCATTCAATTCTGGAAAAAAAAATGTCCTTCTGCAACAAAAGCTGTTTTTGACATTGTTGATAAAGTGACAAACATCAGTTGTCTTTTTGTAATTGTCATTTGGCAATTTGACAAGTTTGATGAGTCTTCATTCAAGGACTATTAAAATTTGGTGAATATAATAGCTATTCAGTCCATCACTCTTGGAACTATGACCAAAAACATTACAAGGAAATCAAAAGCTGTTTCCTTTTTGAATTTGTAGGTCTGATGAATTGGATCATGTTTACAATTCCAATGTAATAAATTATAATATAATATTAGTGTTTGAGCCTTTTTAATTATATATATATATATATATATATATATATATATATATATATGAGAGAGAGACATAGTTCATTGAATAATATAGGTATATTATATGTCTTTATTTTTTTTTATAATAATCCTTTCTAGTTTTCTAACCAGTTTCATGATGTTAAGATAAAATTCATCAAGGGAGGAGCTGTAGTTTTTTTTTACCCAAGTACTTTCAATCTCCTTTGAGATCATCCTTAGGTGAATTACAAAGATGAACTTATAGTAACTGTGATAGTTGTGATGATGAATTTTAAAAAACCCATGTGAACGTACTCTGTTAATTATCTTAAGATTTAAATTTATCTGTTGTAATTATGGAAGTTTTTGCATTCCAATGTAAGGGAGCTAACCAGAAATATACACTGCATCTTCCTTGATGAATTTCATCTTGAAACTGATTAGAGAACTAGATAGGATTATTATAAAAATAAATAGAAATTATATGTCTATATTATTCAATGAATGAAGATATTCTGCTTAATAGTGTGTGTTTAGATATGAAACTAAGCCGATATGAACATTTTGAAAGCCTGATGAGAAGAATTTACTTCAAGGCACTATTTAGCCTTGCTTAATTGGCTGAGTTCTTCATAGCTCAGTCAGTCTAGAACATGTTGGATCTAACAGCAGTTCCCTCTAACTGGGGGTGGAGACACAGGTTAGAATTCTGCTGGAAAATGCATATTTTTCTTTAATAAGATTTCTTGAATATTCAGGCTGGTAGACGAAAATAGCTAAATACACTGTTTAATAAATAGATGGAACTACAAGTATCCACTAAAAATAACGATTAAAGTGATAAAATCTGTGTGGTTAATAAATAAAAAAATCCATTACTTTTTCAGAAATTACTTACACAATGTTTAAAGATTACTACATTTATGGGGGAAGGTATTCTCACAATGGGGTGGATAGTACATTTCTAGATATAAATAGTCTTAATTGGTTACTAAAGATCACCTACCTACAAAGCCATTGTAATATAACCAAGCTACCGTAAGATTCAAAGGAAACCCAGAAAAAATATCTTTGAATAAGAGAATGTCTCTGGAAATGGATAAGATACATTTAACAACAAAAATATGGAAATAGTCCAATCCTCTCAAAGTATGGGTGGCTGCTCATATCCAAGTATGCGTGTCAGGGTTAGGGCAGCTAGTTAATCCCTGTTGCAGACATCTGCTCAGGCACATTTGTGCTTGTTCAACACTCACAGAACCAATCTTTGGTTTATACTGCAACTATGCTGAGCAGATCATAGTTACAGTTTCTGGTAGAGAGCACATAATTTACTCAACAGTTTAAACAAGATCAACCATTTAAGCCCTCAGTCATGATGACTTGTGAATTTGTGCTAGCACAATTGTTGATGGCTTCTGAGCAGTTCTTTCTATCGAAAGCTTTGGTCAACCTGTAGTATGGCTTTCAGTCACTTACCAATGATGCTGCTGACTGGGATCATCTCTCCAGACCAATGTTATCAAGAAGCCACTTCCCTGAAAAGAGTGAAAGCAACTGCCAGACTTGAGAAGCCTATTTTTCTGAAAAATTGTTTTAAGAGAAGGATTTTATAAATTTCAACTGCTTGGTTGATAAATACCAAATGTTTCCTTGTAAGGAAACTGATAATAGTACCATTATCATTAGTAACCAATGGGTGAACAAAACAAAAAATATTGATTTTTGCTACTGTTATAAAAAAAAAAAAAAAAAATCCAGCGATTTTTCAGAGTTACCCCCCTTGAAGCATCAACTATTTTTTTTTTCCCCCTCTCTTTTCAATCGAGATCTCAGGAAACGTGATGAAGTCTTGTAGTTTTTTTTGTTTTTTTTTTTGTTTACAATGATGTTCAGCCCTGTACAAGGCACGAGAGCAACTCGAGGTAGAGGATTACGAAGTAAGAGGTAATGATTAATCATAGACTTGAACAGGTTATGATTGTAGTGATCGGAGGAAGCATCCTATTGGGATGTGGGAAGAATCTGCTCGAGTGTGACTTGCATCTCACCAATGGAATGGCAAAAGAATTGAATGGAGGTTCCTTACAATGGAAATGGTGAACCTTAGCCATGAAGGTTAGAACTGGTGGAACTAAGGAATGTGGTTCATCTGTGCACTTTCCATGGAAATAGCGATAAATCAGCGAGAGGCTTCTGATATTCCATCTGCGGGGAAGGGGTTATAGGAAGGAAAAATAGTTTATCACCCACAAGGATGCACAGATGCTTTTGGACTGAAAAGAGAAGACTCTGCAGCTCCAGCATATATATGACAGCAGTACTCCTGTTTTGGCCTCACCTGGTTTTTGTAAAAGTAGAGGATAGCAGATTGAGTCAGATAACTGCTGGATCGCTACCGGGAATGCCTGGGTTTAGTTTAAGTCCCAAGAGGTGCTCAAAGCATGAAGCTCCTCCCTAAGAGAACATTTATTTATTGTGACTGCTAATAGTTTTTGGTCCTATCGTTGATGACAGAATGTCATTATGTTTGGTCCTCAAAGCATTAAATGTAACCAGCCCGTTTCCCCCTCCTCCCACTGTGCTGTTAGAGCTTGATCAGAGGAGAGATCAGCTGGTCATCCTTGCTTTTTTTTTCTCTTCTCAAAAATATTTCTCAGGTTTATTTTTTTTTTTAATAGAAATTAAAGTATGCATAAAAATCTTTTAGAAAATTTTAATTTTTCTTGAATATTTAACTGGTCATTTAAAAATGCAGGAAAATAATTATGGAAGTATTTAAGGGTGACTTTTATGAATTTAAATGAAAAGGAAAAAAAAATTCCTAATTTTCAAAATGCAGGCAAAAAGAAATCAACAGTGTTTTTCTTTAATAAAATTTTTAATGTTTTATTTGTTTGTAAAGTAACTCTTGAAAACAGTTGTCCTGATTTGGGTGGAGAACATAACAAGTTTTATTTTATTTTCTATGGAAAAAGCTTTTGTGTCTGACTATAAAAAGCAATAGGTATGTTGGTCAATTTGGTAGCATTATATATACTGAAGTACAATAGGTGCTGACAAGTTTTCAGCTTGACCAAGAAGACTTTCCAAAAAATAATTTGATATTTAATTGTCATTTAGACAAATTTTGGACTGTAAACTTTTCAGCACACTTTCATATTTTGAAATACTGCCATTCTTATAAACTAAATTGACTGCAGAAATGATTACTGGCTCTTTATTTCAAGAGTCTGCAATAAATCCTATTTTTGTAGCATTTAACCTTAAAATCTCAAATATGCAAATAGTTTCATTTCAAGGAGTTTAAATGAAATCTGCTGGTCATATTTCTCATTGAATTCTCTCTTTCCTCAATCAATTAATTTGCCATTTGTTAAATGTTTTATACTCAATTTTCCTTCTTTTTTTCCTTTTTTCCAGCTCCCAACTGGATTTTTCTGAACTCCTTGAAGATGTGAAGCAGGAAGGTCAGAGGTTATCACAGTTGAGGAAACAGAAAAGCATTAATTAATCAGGAAAAAATTAAAAAAAGAAAAAAAAAAGAAAATATAGTAATGGGTCTATATATTACAAATGATTATTTTTTTTTTTTTTAGGCTCTGGATAGGTTTATTTCTATATGATTGGATTAGCCCCACCTCACACCTCCTTAATAAGTCTTGCCTGTAAAAGAAAGAAACATATTGATCTTGTCAACTACTTAAAATTAAACTTCTTGGTATTTATTCTACTAAAAGGGGACATGTGTGGAAAGGTTGGCTTTGAAAAGAGCAACTGTGATTTTATGAGTTGCTGTTTCACGTTCCATTGCAATCTTATTTTTAATTCTTTTTTGCCTGGTCTCATATTTTGGAGGGTTGGAGGCTGAGACCAAGATTTGACTGTTGATCATTTGGTTTCACTAAGTGTACTTTTAGTCAAATGGTAATTGAAGAATGGACTGTGAGAGGAAAAGAAAAAAGTTTCCCTTGTTTTTATTGATATTTACAAAGCTTTAGTCTGACACAATTGTAGAACACTCAGATCAAATCCAATAGGTTAGTAACACTTTGTCAAACTAGCTTGCTAACCACTGCTCCATGGCAAAGTATTACTATCTTTGTTATTGTTGTAGGTGTCTTTAGTTTTCCACTCTGCATCTTGTTGCTTGACCCTTTGCAATTGTCAGATTGAGAAAAAATGCTTAAAAGTTCCTTTTAAAGTTGCTTTTTCTGTTGCCATATAAAAAGAAAAAAAAAAATGAAAAATTGCCAATGGTCAGTGAATATCCTGCCAATTTATCCCACCAGAAGGAGAATATTTCTGTTTTGGTCAGTGAATTTCCTGTTTTTCTTCAGGAGACTGAATACGTATTTTCCTGTATATTTGTTAATAATTAGCGGTTTGATTTTAATGGTTGTCAAAAGGAAGAAAATGTCATTTATTTATTGAAATATAACCAAAACCCATTTTAGTTGAATCTACTTAATGTGTTTTTTTTTTCTTTCTCTGATGAAGTTCTATAGTTTCCCC